CTGGCTGGTGTGAAAGTTGGAGCAAATCCTGTATTGCATTACACAAGTGGGACGTGAAGTTAACAATAACAACAACCTCAGAGAAAGCAATAACGTTGAAAGATGGGTTCAGATTCTGCGATACTGATGTACTAATACTAGTACTCAACAATGAAAGAAACCTCACTAATGTCACTGGGAATATCTCTGGAGAAAGGCAATCCTCAGAATGAATATTGTCACAATCCATCCTTCTGTACATATATTTCCACTTCAGTATCTCAAGTGAAGAAAGTAAACCTCAGGTCAAGAATCCTGGCAGATAAATGTCTCTCTGGTTGATGGATGAGAGTATATATTCATCGCTTACAGCAATTCTCTTGCTATTTGGTTTGGGGTTAACAAAACCACTACGTGAGCCACACAGGGAGGCTTCTGGTTGTGTGAAAATGAGGTTGGAAGTGGAAAGAACCCTCAAAGGACGTTACAGAAATATTAGAAAAGCTTCAAATGAGCACACCTGAGGAAAACAATACTTTTCTAATTACCTGTTCCATTAAAGTTGGCTGAGCAGAATATGGCTTTACATTCTGATGTTACTAGCAAAATTTAGGCTTTCAAGTGTGTCAGGAAGACAACTGCAACAGGCTCACTAATAAATCTCTTCTGGGGCTCTGTGAATGCAAGGTTGACCTAAATAAAGGGAATATGATGGACCATTAGAGCGTGCTCATATTGAAGGTTTGTCACAAATGGAAGAATGCTTGCTGCAATTTCTCAGCTTTACTTAGCAAATTCCAGTTTGATGTCCTGTGATGAAGACCAGAGCTCCTCCTTTCAAGCCATCTCCTCTGTTTTCCAAAATTGCCTGGGGTGTATTGTAACCCACCTTGAAAGCAAATTACCTGACCTAATCCAGAACTCTGTTAAAAGTCTAAAGCTGTGTTCTTAAGATAGAAGAATTAAAGCTGGTACACTACAATGAGCTATTTCCAAAAAATTGAGTCACTTCAAAAACATTTCAGTTTTGAAGTTGCTTTACCAATATTGAGATAAATTTGTAAACGTATTTGTGGAGAGCTTGGGCTCCAGATATTGGGGTATTTTTCCTTTACCAAAAGCACATACTACAAAACCTGTAGAGATTTCTCTTCATATGTTATGCTTGGAAAAGTTTAATGAGACTGGTTTTGTTTAGATTCAAATACATTACCAAAATTTGCAACTTGTAATTTTGTGCTGAGATATGAACAATAAGAAGTAAAACTGGTTCTAAACAGAACTTCCTGAATTTTCTCTCCAAACTAAATGTATCAAGGATGTACTATGAACATGGAAGATAAATCTAGCTTTAAGATTTATCACTGATATGAATAAAAGAACATTTTACAGAATTTTTATCTTGATTGTCTCTTTACAGCTGAAAAGAGGGAATTTTTCCCCCATTCTATGTAAAAGGGAGGAAAAACACGCTGTTGATTATTTTCCTGGCACATTTTGAATAAAATAATACAGGCTTCATTATGGCATGAGACTAATTACGCAAATTATATCTGAAAGAAAAAAGTTAAATTAAGAACTGAATGGTTACTGCATAATCAGTGGGCACGAGTGAGATCTAATGTCATTGTGTTTAGAAATGGCTTCATCCAGATCCAGCTGTCTGTTGTTGACCTTCACCTCCATGCAGCCATTATAAAAAGCGGTTACTAACGTAGCACCCAAAGGAACATCTGCACAGAAACACATTCAACTTATTAGGCCAAGGCATGCAAATTCTTATGTATTTTTCAGATTAGCAAAAACATGGGGAATACGCCATTCCCCATCCATTAGTCAGCTGTGGGAGAAAAGAGCAATTTGGCAGGAAACACTTAAGTTCTTCTCCCTTTTCTTTAAGATTGAGACAGTCAGCAAAGCTCAGAAAGGTCAGTAAAGTTTGAATTATGCGTTAGAAGTCTATTCCCATTCAGAAATCTAACCACATGAATGTTTTTCATAGTAGCATTCACAACAGTGAACCAGTAATTTGTTTCCTGGATTCCACTGTTCTTGTCCTGACCCACAAACAGATGTTTATGGGTTTAGAGGTCACGGAAAGAACCATCGCGCTTTTGCCAGAAAGCTACTCTGGATTCAAATCTGCAAGTTCTCAGATAGGGGACCCCTGGGAAGTCCGCTTGTTTTACTGCTTCTTCAAAGTGAATTCTGGTATTGTTTGGGTTATGGCAACATCAGATCATGGACATGCTTCCAGGAAACAGTATGTTAAGGACAAAATAAAGCAGGTATTGCTCTGAGGTCTTAGGGTACAACTGGATTCTTACAAGGTAGACATAAGGTGATCCAAGTACCTTCAGCAACTAGAATGAGGATGCCTAGAAGCTGATCTCAAGAGCATAATCTTTTTTTTCAGATGTTAATCATCCTATCCCTCCTAGAAGATTGAGTTGATTCTCTGGGGAACAAGAAATGTTGCTTCCTTGTGATTTTATTTTGCTGTAAGCTGAGGTATTGCACAAACAGTCCTGTGGAATTGTGCCCTTCTGCTCTTTTTACTCCAGAGGTGATAATGGTGCCATCATAGAACTATGCAAGTCTCAGCCTGCACTGGTGCTAAATTAATTAACAAAGAGGTATACTCCCTACACTGTTACTAGTTTGAAGAAATGTGTATCAAAAAATGGGGACTTCAGCTCTTCATGAAATGCTTATTTTTTAGATGCCTTTTAACCATACAGTTCTGTGCACTGTAGCTCAGTGTGGGGATCCTTACCCACCTTTTTATACTGTTCAGTAATCCCAGAGGCTTTTCAGGGGGGAGTTAAGCGTGAGTAAATTAATCCACGTAAGCCAAACTAGGGACCTAAAGCAGTTTTCCTGTATTACTTTTTTCTCTCTTTGGCAACAGAGGCTCTTGTGGAAGAGGCTCCTTCGGATAAAGTGGGGGGGTTTGTTGCTTTTTTGAGCCCTCTAAGTAGAAACTGTTTAAGCATACAGAGGTTTTCTTGTTTGCATGTTGAAGATACTTTTAAAACTGAGAGATTACACTTACTTTTAAGGAGCAGCAAGTATAATACTAATACTTGCTACTTACCTATTTGGCATGCATGACTGAAGCCAAGGTCCTAGCTCTTAAGATGCCTATTCCTCTGTGGCTAGCAATGTACTAAAAAGAATAATTTAAATATCACAAAGATGAAGAGGTCTTAAAAAATGACCAGAATCTTAGTTAAGGTACTATGGCTCAGTTAACCTACTGACTCACCTCTGCTGAGTGAATACTGACTTTATCTCTCTTTTAAAAGTGAGCAGGTATTACAAAAACACTGACACTTACATACTGCAGTATGTGACGGTACTGCACCATTAGTGCATTCTTCTCATTTTACACACTCAATTTCAATTGAACTCACCTGGTTATCTGGTTTCCAATACATTGCATACCCATTCAAAAACAAAATTAGAGGAAAAACAGTCATATTTAGTGCCTAAATCTTGTTACATCCTCGATTACCAGTGTATGAAGACTTGTAGAGAACAAGTAAGTTCTAACACATGGGCCTGGATACCGAGGCAACCACCACTTCAGACAGAGGCTGTGGTACCTGCAGTGCTGTCCTAAACACCTTGCTTCTATTCTGACAAGCAAGTCTACAGGGTGGAACCATAATTCTGACTTCCCCTGTGTACACTACCTTGGAAGAAATGCCTAAAGAGATTGTCTCCAATGGATACGTAGTTCCCCCCCTTTCTATTTCTGTGCGCTCTTGTCTCCTGCAGAAGAAACATGACGCAGATAAAGACCAGCGCTATGACACTGCAACCTACATGTACAACGGATGCCAATTCGAGGCCGTGTTGGTCAAACTATTGGAACTTCCTTAGGAATTGTGACTACTCTTCCTAAAATAACTCCAATAGGGGACACACAAAACCTCTGCCAGTAGTAACATTGTAACCATGGTGCCTTTCCTCTACCAATTTTCAAGTTTGAGGAACTTAGGCTTTGAAAATTCCTCATCTGTGGCAATGCTATTTTTCTTCATGATTCACCCTGAAGTCAAACTATTTTATAGACAAGCATATGTATGCTTCGTGTACAAAACAATGCTTGTACATGTCTTAAGACTGGGGATACACTTGCAGCATGCTTTAAACAAAATAGTTGCTGTTTCAACACACTTTCTGCCTTGTGAAGATTGCCAGTCATTTATTGCCCACCATTTAATTGCTGAAACCATATTCCTGACTACTTCTGCACTTCTGACAATTTACTTACAAATGCCTGCTTTTCTTACATGCTTGATGCAGTTCCTAAATTGTGCCAGCTGGTGGCATTTCAGAAATATGCTATGCTCACTCCTCCCCAGCTCAAAAATCAAGACATTTCCCAAATTCAAGCCTCTAGAGAGGAACTCATGCCTTTTAACAAGCCTAATAATGCTACTGTTGAAAAGCAGGTTCCCTCAAAAGCTGAATAGAATGGATGACACAAGAAGCACTTGGGAAGGAAAAAAACCCCTGCTTATTTTTGTACAGTTGTAGGCTTTTTCTAGCTTGGGTAAGGCTGAATATAATCAGGCTTGTACAAATAATCACATTAATGAAAAGAAATGTAATTCACCTGGTAGGCCGCCCAAGTAGGTAACAACATTTGCCATCATTGCTTGATGCAGGACAGACAGTTGCTCCGAATTGCTTCTGTCTGTGTGTGAATCAACAGACAGTTCAAGCTGGTGTTTGGTTACTACAAGTCCAACCAGCACTTTTCTGGGTGTACATAACTTCTTTGATTCCAGATGTGCAACCATGATGTTCCCAATGGTCACAATGATTTTCTAAATGGAAGAACAGTAGGTCACAAAATATGTCATGTGTAACTTCAACACACAATTTTACTTGGTTCTGATGCATTTTATATTTTGAAGTAGAAGAAAAGGAAATGTTAGAGCCCCATTTTAAAGACTGGTATCTGAAGTTGGAAAAGTTACCAAAACTGATGGATAATCATCACCTTTGGTGATGAATGCCATTCATTTACATTCTTAAATTTATAAGTGAGAATGTTCACTGAAAAAAAACCCCCAAACTTGGCTATGGTTCTGAGGTGAAACCCTGTTTCTCTTAAAGGCAAAAGGAGTACTGCTACAGCTTCAAAGGTAACCATGCGTTCACTATAGGTTCTTATTTTGGCCAAAAGCATGGATTAGCCATGATGTATAATCATGCTCTATCTTGGGATACCTGATGTAAACAGATGTAAATGGAAACTTAAGGACAAAAAGATGTTTATAAATTGAAATTAACATTCATGATGCCATTACTATAATATCATCATTCTATTTCTGTCATGTTCCTCTTTGTGCATTTGGAAGGAAAGGTTAAAGAAGACATAATGTAATGGATAGTACCTGACATAAAAGCGCTTAGTCTTTAGTCACTGCTGTAGCAATCGTTAATAGTAATATGTTTTCTGCACATCACTATATGACCTAAGTGCTTTTCAAAATATTAATTCAGCCTACCAGCTCCACTGCAGGTTAAGTGTGAGTACCTTTTTTAGTCTGATTTTTCACAGATGGAGTAGTAAGTTAAGTGAGACAAAACCAAGAGGTGTGACTTATGCATATCAGCTGCTATGATAATTGTAAGATCACCTGTGAGTCAGAAGAGTTAGAGTCCACTATGGACAAAGCAAGAGGCACTGTTTCATTAGAAACCAAGGCAAACATAACACCAGTGTCTGTGGATGGGCGAATAGTCAGAGTCACATTTATTAGCCAATCTTCAGTACTGTCAAGATTATCTGTTTTAAAAAGAATAATTGAGATTAATAAATCCATCTGCTAATGAAAAATTAATATGGTGTTAAAAATTAGTATTTAATCTGCTCCCACTGTGGAAAAAATAGTACTAACCTCCAGAAAAAAACTGAACTTTGGAACTTTTAGAAAGAACTATAAGTCTAAAAAAAAAACTCAACCACCCAAATAAGCAAAAAAAACCCCTTTAGTCCTGCATCTTCCCTAATCTTCTGTGCTTACTGGACTTTTTTTTTTTTTTTTTGCTACCTTCTCTATTCTAACATGGAACAGGTGCCACATTCATTACAGGTCAGTTCAAAATTAAATACAAAAACCTAATCTACTCCTAAATTGCTGCCACTGAGTAGAAGATTGGCAGTTCTTATACACGTTTACATTCCAAAGCAGTTCCACTATTAAAATGGGAACGTGCAGGTGCACAAAGTAAATATGCAGATGGTACAAATATAATTTAATATGATGCGTTCATAGTGAAGCTAATAAAAAAATTGCTATTTAAAGAAATATTTGTCATCTGATATCTAGCAGATTCTTGAGGAAGCAGAAATCCTAAATATGAGGTGAGGTTATATTCCTACACAAAGCCAAATGGGCAGGGAGACAGTGAGTGGGCTATAACAGCTCATAGAAGGGCAGTAGTAGGTGTGGGCAGTCTCTTGGAAATGGGGGTGGGGGCAGGAGGTGAGAATAGAAAGTAGAGGGGAGCAGCAGCCCCAAACACCAAGGTCAGAAGGAGTCATGGCAGCATGGTGTTAGTGAATGAATGGAAGGAAAGTTGAGGACACTTGAGTGGCATAGGAAACTCTGATGTGAGTTGGTTGGAAGCATAGAACATAAAAAGCTGGAGAAATCTTTTGAAGTGAGCTAGGGAATTTAAAGACCTGGGAAACAATAGTAAGTCCTGGGATGAAAAGGATTGAGGATCAGAGCAGGGTTGAAAGGCAGCATAGCATTTGAGGATGGGGAAGAGTATAATGACAACAGGATTTGGATCGATGCTCAAGAGATGTCTCATTTTGGGCGCTCAGGTGTGCACAAGGAGATCCTGGACTGGAAATTTTGAAATTAAGGCAGGAGGTCAGGCAAGAAAGTTCTGGGTTCAGGAAGGAGCAAGAGGTGCACCTAAAACCTCTAGATAGGACGTTCATTTAGAAGCAGAAATGCATACACAAAACTACCGGTGATCCATTTGCCCATCGCCAATCTTCTTTTTCTGTCAGTAATACGATACTTTTCCCATCGATGAACAGGGGACAGAATTAGATCTTTGGAAAGTGAATGTATTCAACAGTGCTTATCCTTTGCAAATAAAGAATATGCTTCCTAGCCTAAAGCACTTCAGAAATTAAATGGATGACAACAATGGGATTGGAATTCTTATCCGAGCTAATTTCTAACAGAAGTTACAGGAATCAGTGCTGGATGCCATGGTGTATACCTTAGTTTCTGTGTGTGTGTCTGTCTTTTAACAATTCATCAGTCTCATCACCAGTCCAGCAAAAAAATATAGGAATAGCCAGAAAAATACTTACTATAGTTAATCTGAAACTTTGCCATTCCAGTGCCAGGGTAGAAGGATCCTCTCCCCACTGCTACTAAACAGTGTTTGCTTTGTTTTTCTTGAATAACTTCTTTTACACCTGAATGTCCCTGATTCATCAGGTTCCAGGCACGAATGCACCCATCTAACCGAGGGTTAATCTGTAGAAGAATTACAGCACTAGTGTTTGTATTCAAAGTTGTTTTAAAAATGTTAATACTAAGGCATTACTTTACATATGAACTTATTTCTGGGTAGCCAATAATAGCCTTGTCAATGCTGTAGGTTACAGTACTGATCCTGGGAGAAAACAAATGGCGTGCATTTAGTACCTCAGCTTTCAAAAGGTGCTTCTGATTTAATAACATTTCCCATTTTGATGCCAGTGATCTGTATGAATTAGATTGCTTCAATTTTTAAAGCTCACACTGTCCTTTTGTTTAGGTCACAACAGCTTTTCTGTAGCTGAAAGACAATGATCGCTAGCACTGTTCCTTGTTCAAGGTCTCATCTTCTTGCGCCAAAGTACAATGAAATTTCTGGAATTACTTTCTATTGGGTAATGGGATGTTGTTGTATTGCTTCATATTTTTTCTCTCAGCTTCACTTTTAAGCAAAAATGGATTTAAAAGAAAAGAGGTGAAGCCTTTGCTGTGCAGTTACTTTTTGCCTCTCTGTTTAGACTGCCAATTAGTTTGAGGACTCCAGGACTGAGAAGCAGACAGTTGCAACAACTTGACTGTACCCAGCCCCAGCATAAGACAGAGCTGTTGGGGATGGAAGACTGAAAGAATCATGGGCCTTGTCTAGTCTGGGCTATTGTAAAACCTACTAAAAATGAAAGCTCATTGTGCTGCCTGCACAGTGAATTCCACACCTATTCAGAGCCTAGCAAAAGGCAGCACCAGAAACATGAATCACTCTGAAATGCTTTTGCAGCAGAAGTGGTCGTGATTTAGGGAATCTTAAAGCTATATTAGGAAACAGCCTACAGAATCCTGAAAGATTAGACTGTAAGTGCTATGTTTCTATAACTGAAACCTAACTGAAGACAGACTACAAAGCTTCATGCAAATTTCTTTTCAAAACAGTGGTTTAATAACCTGATTCTAATTTTATAAATGGATTCCATGATACTCTTCCTTCCTCTGTGACTACTAAGTAAACAATACAAAACCAAATAACAGAACAGTATTAATCAACATTACTCTTATTATTTTAGTTACCTGTTTAACAAGAGTGTTGCCCACTTTGCGAGGTAATCCTGCAATATACACCTTTGTTTCCAAGAAACCCTGTGATTGTTTAAAAAGTGTTCCTGGGCTGTTAATACTCATTACAGCTTCTTTAGCTATTTTTACACTGATGCTTTGTTCTAGTTCTTCAACTGATATCTAGAATTAAATACAAATAATTACATATATATGCACACAAACATGTAGAATATTTAAAATGCTAATTACATATACCAGTATGATGCATTGCTAACGTTTCTCTAAATATCTAGCTTTTAAAATAGTTTTAATAAAGTTAACGTTAACAGCATATTTAAACTTGAATCATGACAACTGTCCGTATCCGTGAAAACCGACGGGAGGATGATCTTCCCTTCTGCCCCCATCCTACCCCAGGAAAACCCACGCAGCTCATTAGTTTGCTTTATGCGCTATAGTTTGCAAGAAGCTGATTTCTACAATTGCTCTATACCCAACCTACATTTGGCATACAGTTCTCTATGTCACTGCAACCTGCTACAGAGGATTGAATCTTCAGATAGGACATAGACAAAATAGGTACAATGCTTGGTGCGGCTATTATGGGGCATCGAAGTAGATTTTTAATCTCAAGGAAACTGTACTGAACTGAAACAGGAGGTCTACACAGAATCCTAGCTTCTTTCACTCCCCCCTTTAAAAACAAACAAACCTAACTGATGTTAATAATTTGGTGTCATTTATAGATGGTGTAAGTGAGCAAGGCCTTTCATCTTAGGTATGCAAGCTTGAAGAATGAGATGGCTTTCTGGTCTAGAAAATGTAAAACTTGCCCTCTAGACAAAGTATCTAATAGCTATGCACTTGACCGTGCAATCACACTTCTTAATGCTCTGCTGCTTGCCTTTTCATGATTACTAAGAGTAATTCCTATGTGGCCAGCTAGTGGTAATTACCTATTTCTTGATCATAAACAGGTGCCATGATTTCCCAGATGTAAGGCGTTCTTGTGCATTTCTTGGATGATTTTTAAATCTGGGATTTGAGGGGATCATTTTAAGCCTTATTAATAGTTACTTAGTTTCTCCCTACTTTACTTATCAAGACAGAATGTTAAAGGGTTAAGGGAGGAAAGGGAGGAGGAAAACCCAGCTTACTATATGCCACAGTCCATCATTAATGGCTTTGCCTCCACTGGTGACTTTTGTTCCAAAACTATTCTTGAATTGAATTTCAATCTTCCCATCACGAAGAGCAAGCAAGATCCATGCTGTACTGTCAAGGGATTCTGCATATAGTATAACTCCCTCTGCATCATATGTCCGGAAATCAAATTCTGCTGTAAATCTGAGTTGTGAAGAAGGAATCTTAATAAGAAGACAGGAAACATGAAATACTGTATAGCCTAGAATAACTCATTAATAGGGTAAAAAGAAGTTTATAGATATTAACCTTCTGGTAACTTTGTATCTGAGCAGTTGTGACATTTGCACACAATTAGGCAAAACCAGAATTTAATGTAAGCGCTGTTCATCTGAATCCAGTGAAAAGTTTTTCTGAGATTAATGCCTTGAGCTGGGATTTGAAAGACCCTTGATTTATTTCCCAAACCTGCTCCAAGCTTTGCATGTGAAGACTACCACACCCCCTTGAGTATGAAGATAGATGTAATGTTCCTATTGCATTTTGTGGAGATGCAATAAGGAAAAAATAAATGATCTGTGATGTACTTCAGTACAACGGGGTTGCCAGGTGTTGTCCTACAATCATAACCTAGCAATTTGCATTGGTTACTGCTGCTTTTTAGATGTCATTTTCTAATTTGAGGATTTGTTGTCTGGATCTTGGCAGTTGGTTGCATGTGTATATGTAGCAAAATTATGGTTTACATTATAGTACCTGTACAGTGAAAGCAAAGAATGGTTCTTGTCTCCTAGCACTTTTGGACTAGATAAAATAGATTAAGGATGAAAGGAGAAAACAAAGCATTTGGAACTCAGGATTTGATGAAGACAACAAAAGAAACAAGTAAGGGAGCTGTAGTTAAAAACTCTGATCGCTTTCACTCAGTCTTGTTCTTTGGCCACTAGATGTCATTGTCTCTCATGCAGACCCACAGAAAAATCATTCTGTATTTACACAGAGACTATTAAGATAGCTTCAAACATTTATCACCTTAGAAAGGTCTTCCAGGAGAACATTAATGCCTTGTCAACTTGGAACAGGGGCAGACGAAAAAGTTCTCAATATTTATGTCCTTCTGTAATGTTCTAAGGCTCTGGGGGCCACCGAGCTCAACAGCTACTGCTGCTGTTACCCTCAAATTTTTCAGTCAGTAAGTCAAGGAATGCTGCAATTTTAACTGCCACAGCAAAGAAGTCCATGCGTAAGAAAGGGGTCACTACCATTAGCAATTGTCCTGACATCTGTAAAGGAAATAATACAGACAGTGCTCTAGACAAGATACTGCGCTCTATCGGTGTCCTTGGAACACCCTGTGAAAGGAAGCGCAGGGGTGGGGGGAAAGCATTGGCCTGATTTTGTTTCTCAGCAGTATGTGTGTAGCATGTCACAGCTTCTACGCAGAGCAGAAGTGAAGTAGCAGCAACATCCAAGCGAAAGCCATTTCCATATATAAGTGGAAGCTGTACAGTAATTATTTTCCTGTAACATCTGAAGTTTATGTTGAGAATACTAAATGCCTTCCTGTATCTGTATCACCACCTCCCACCTTCCCCAGCCCTTGCTCTTCCCTTCAGGGGAAGAGAAGACTTCTGTCATGAGGAAGCACCAATCTTTTTGCTCTCTTGTCCACAAACCAAGGGGACCTACTGCCTATTAAACTTACTGCCCTCAATCCTCTTCCCTTTTTGCCCATTTAAGTCTGGATCTCTTTGAACTCTTTCTCCCAGTCCATAGACCTCTCCCTACAACAGCACTGGTAACCAGGACTGCAATGGCTGGAGAGGGCTCCAACTCTGTTATTCATAGATATGATCACATCTGGCTGCCAATGGTGCATGTCTTGCCCTAGCTGTGCACTCTTTTTTTGCTGGGACACAGCTGCTACTGACTCCTACCTGCTTCTGAGGTATCTGGAGGAAACTTGCTAACTTGCTGACTTTCTAGTTTTGCCATGTGAAAGCACTGCTGTCTATACTGATGAGGTGGCTCGAGGACATAGTACAACCAATTAGAGTGGCTGTAAACTGACGCCAGACACATTATTCTTGCCTATCTGCTTTCAGATGACTCCAGCTTCCTCTAAGTGCTAGTATATGTAGGAACCAGAGTTAATTCATTCTCCATATAAAGGTATCTTAACCAGTGGGGAGACGGTGATATAATTTATGCATGCGATGTACTCTCTCTAAACCCTCAGAAAGTTAATGGAAACAAATGTCCATAATTGTAATGCATACTTTTATCAATAGCAAATGCTTACCTCGTGACATTTGGCAATTTAAACTTTAAGTACAGAACGGGAATTCCTATAAATTGCTCTGCCAGGTAAAGCAGTTCATAATTCTTTTCAAGGTTCAGTGGGACGCATGCAGTTACAGACTGAAAATGGTAGAGAATAAAAAAAAGATGTTAATGCATTGTGATAGTTGATAGTTCATGAAGCAATTCCTATTGTTGGCTGTTAGCATGCCCTTTTTTTTTTTAAAGCAATGGCTTACCTCTTTTTTTTTTTTTTTTCTTTTTTTAAACTTGAATACCTATGTACAAATGAAGGGGTGTATTTTCTTTTTTGTTTGAAATGTCTATTTAAGCTGTTGGAGGATAATATAAGTTGAAACATGGTTCTGGTGAATTGCAACTAATATTTAAATATTCAGTATTTAAGTCAAGAATTCAAATCTTCCATCAGGCACTTTCCTTTCTCCAGGGAGCTGTGACGCTCACCTATTAAGATCCTGCCAGGCTGCATTATTAACACTGTGTGGAATCTAAACCCAGTCAGGTGTTAGAAGGGAGTGGGGCCAGAGCTGTGTCTTGAAGTTTTAATTTAAAAAAAAAATAAAAAAAAAATCTTTCATTTCTTTATCAATATTGATGTACAATAGCATGTAATGAGGCTAGAAGATGCTCTTCCTATTTCATGAATAGGCAAAAAAAAAAGACTGCAAGTGTTGTTCAGATATTAAATTTCAGAAAGTACAAACAAGATCTAATACATACATGCTAGAACTTGCGTCAGACCTTGTTCATACAGTATAAGCCCAATTTTGTTATACTGTGTTAGAGGTGTGTTTTTGTTGGCAGTTATCTGAGCTCACCTTGCATAACAAGTCTTAGCCTGCCTGAACCTTTCAAAGTATACAGAGAACCATTCACAAGATAATCCTTGCACTGGGATTCTCCAGAGTTCCAAATTTTCTGCTACTAAGAAGTGTAAATTTTCAAACTGAAAAGGAACAGCGCATTTTGGCTGTGAGATGCTCTTCAAGTGGCAAGTACTACTAAATGCTTTTTCTTAACTTATGGCAGATGAGAGCTGTGGAAAATAATCCCATTTTTTTTAACCCAAATGGCAAAGCATGGAGTAATTCTGAAAGACTGAGTGAAAACTTTTGTGCAGCCTAACAAAAACCTGGGAGCATACAGACAAATGGGGTATTCTGGCTCTGAGTAAGATGAATGGGAATTATTTGTTTGATAGGAGAAAGCTGAGGCTTATTTTGGAAGCAGCAGGGAATAAAGATAACTGGCTAAGGCAAGCTTCTCTTGACAGGATTCCTGCAAATAAGCATGCATGAACTGAATGGCATCCAAATCCCTATCGGGTCTGCTCTGTGAGCCAAACCACAGCTCAGAGTCCCCAGCACCTTCTCAGAAATTTTCAGTCAGTTCTCATATAGCTTCTTATTTTTCTTAATCTAATCCCGTCATCAAGAAATATGCAACTTTGTGATTTTTTGCATGGAATTTTACACAGTGCAGTTTTACCTCACAATTCTTCATGTCCTTAGAGAGCTTGAACCCTTTCTTGCCATCGCAATAGCAGCTATAACTTCCTGGAGAGTTTATACAAAGTTGAGCACAAACATTTTCAGCACATTCATCAATATCTAGGAGAAACGGAAGCATACGGAAAGATTTATTCATGGCACAGACTGAAAACAAACACAATAAATTAATGGAATAATGGACAAGATGGGTTCTCTGGCATAACATGAATCCACTGGGTGGCTGCTGCTAAGCTAAACTAATGCTAATGGATGTCTTCTATGTAAAATTTACAATCCAGAATTACCTGTTTGGTATATAAGACCTAGTAATCTGATAGAGGCCTTGTGCGCAGAGCTGGAGAAAAGTTGGTCTGATTTGTGAGGCAGTGAGAAGCTGAGCTGTAAGGTGGCTGAGTTAGGGAGAGAGACCTCAATAAATCACTACCATTTATAAAAGGAATGCCATTCTGAGTCAGATCTCTTCCTTTCCCTATAGATGTCATGAAAACTTAAGAGTATTAAGAGTATATATGGCAAGTATGTGGAGGAAATGACATGCTTTATTCACATAAAACCAAAATAATCTCAGGACAGAATACCTTTTAAAATAATATACAATAATCTCATAAATAACTAAGTTTCAGACAACATCTGTTTGTGGAGACCAATCTGATTTGAGCTGCAAATAAGATAAACCAAGTAAAGGAATTTCATTTTCTATTTAGTAGGCTGTACACAATAAATAATTTAGAAATAAGACGCTATGTAAAATGCCAATGTAACTGTTAAATTTCTTACATAGAAACAAACAAAATCTCTCCTGGATAAGAGACTATAGCGAGGGTGATTTGGGGCCTCAAACTGCAATACCCGTTTTGAAACAAAAGGCCCTTCTAGTGGGAATAAACAATTCTGTACTAATGCATGCATTTAAAAAATCTGAATAGAATAGACTGGTGCAGTTGGAAGGGAGCTACATCTAGTCCAACTGCCTGACCATTTCAGAGCTGACCAAGCTAAAATGTGTTGTTAAGGGCATTGCCCAGATGTGTCTTAAACACTGACAGGCGTGGGACATTGACCACCTCCCTAGGAAGCCTGTTCCAGTGTTTGACCACTCTCTTGGTAAAGAAATGCTTCCTCGTGTCCAGTCTAAACCTCCCCTGGTGCAGTTTTGAACCATTCCCATGCATCCTATCACTGGATCCCAGGGAGAAAAGATCAGCACCTCCGTCTCCACTTCCCTTCCTCAGGAAGCTGTAGGGAGCAATGAGGTTGCCCCTCAGCCTTCTTTGGTATCATCAGCAAACTTGTGCATTCAACTTCTGCATCTAGATCATTGACAAATATATTGAACAGAACTGGCCCTAGAATTAAGCCTTGAGGAATGCTGCTGGTGACCTGTCACCAGTCAGATGCAGCCCCACTCACTACAACCCTTTGAGCTGTGCCCTTCAGCCAGTCCTTCACCCAGGGCACTGTGAACCTGCTGATCCCACAGTTGGACAGCTTGTCCAGAAGGGTGCTGTGAGGGGACAGTATTTTGATATTTTTGAGCCTTACTAAAATCCAGAAAAATTACATCCACTGTCTTCCCTTCATCTACTAGGTGAGTGACCTAGGAGGATATCAAATTAGTTAAACAGGACTTTCCCTTTGTGAACCCATGTTGACTGTGCCTGATGATTGCATTATTCTTTAAATGCCTTTCAATAGTACAAAGTATGGCCTTGTCCTTAATTTTTCCAGGAACTAAGATTAGACTAACAGGTCTGTAGTTCCCTGGGTCTTCCCTCAAGCCCTTCTTACAAATTGGAATAATGTTGGATAGCTTCCATTCAGCAGGGATCTCCCAAGACCTGTGGTAGATGATAGACAGGGGCCCTGCCATAACAGCTGCTAGCTCCTTCAGAACTCTGGGATGAATCCCATCAGGCCCCATGGACTTGCGAACATTGAGCTGATACAGCTGGTCATTTACAATCTCAGCATCCACAAATTGAAAGTCACTGTTCCCACATTTGTGGTCCTCCAACTCCGGGGACCAGGTAACCCAAGGTCTACCAGTATTACTAAAGACTGAGGCAAAAACCACATTGAATGCCTCTGATTTTAATTCATCCCTATTAAATCACTAACAGGGAGTTCAAACCAACTGCTCTGTACACTGTTCCACTGCCTATCCCAGGAGGAGACAGGTATGAAGTCTCCTTCCTCAGCAGATGTTCTGGAATCCCTGATCAGTCCAAATGGCAGGATCTTCCCATGTGGAGCTAATCGTCCTGCTACAGAAATGCAGACATGTGCAGGCTGGAGGGGAGCAAGTTCTTTGGAGGTTTGTTTTAATCATTTATGCTATGATTATCCTGCTTTTCTTCCCAGTTGCAATCAGCACCTTTGCATGTTTGAGCTATTTCAAAGGCTTCCCACAGATGTGTCCAAATGTCAGTCCCACATCATAAAAGTGAGTAGAAGCTATGTGCACAAACCCATGAATCTGAAGAAGCATCCTGAGTTCATATAACTGCTTTCAGTGGAAGGCTTCAGTGGAAGCTTGTTTTGGATAAGTTGCTAAGTTGTAATAAAATCAGCCACAAAGGAGCTGCATACCTTGTCCTAGAAGGGCGCTACTATGGTATAATATAGTGGTTTTCTCAGAGCACGGATGTGGGTAGGCAGGGTTTTGTGTGTGTTAAACATTTTATGTGGGAAGGGGAAACCCTGATTCCTTGTCTCAGATTTTCAGACTATGTGCTAGGGACTAATACCTGAAATACAGACATACTCTGTGCTGTTTGATTATCAGTTCTTTAAGAGAAGTTCCCCCTTCAGAGAAGGAAGAAGAATATGGGGAAAAACATGCCAAAACTTAGGTTGTTCTTTAAAACGTGGGTTCAGCTTGGTTTGTCTCCTTGATACTGACTGCAAGACAGACCCCTCTAGCACAATAAACATACTTACTCATTCACACTATCTCTTATTTTTTGGCAAGGTGCAAAGGTTGCAAAGGCAGTGAGAAGAAGATCATCAAATTCTGTATCTGAACTTGTATGGCTTCTATGAAACAAAGACTGGACTGTACAAATATCTTCCACTGATAGTGTCTCCCAAAAGGTGGGGATGAAGAATCGTAGCAATGTTCTCCTAGGAATGGGTGAGGAAAAAACCCCAAACTCTCTTCTATTCCACTCTAATTGTTTCTGTCATCACAGAGATAGTTGTGCATAAATGTATGTAAACTTGATTTTTCTAATAAGCATAATTGAATTTGGACACCTACATGCAATACGACAACGAAAAGCTAATGTTATTTAGTATCTCTGTAAGGCTACGTTCCTGTCAGTCTGCACAATCCTGTCCTTAGACAGGATTTGGTGACTCATTTAATGTGGTTACAACAAGGTCTGAAAGCTTAGCAGCATAATCCTCCTTCTAGGAGGTAAGACTTTGCTTGTTTTAATATCCTCATCTTGCAACCTTCTGGAATCCATGTTTCAGAAGAAAAACAATACTTAAATGCAATTTGATGCAACCCATGTATCTGCAGAAAGTACTAAGAGGAGCAAGAATTAGATTAATTACTGTGACGTTTTTCTCATTTCGGTGCATGCAGGGACACAAAATTGTCAGTAACACTTTAATCCCATAGTAACTGGACAAAGAGCAGACATCTGAATATGTAATCATTACCACTGTGCAAAGCTTTTTCAAAAGAAAGCCGCATGAAAAGCCATGGAGCAAAAGATTCATAGCCAGCAAGAAGCTACTTTTGTGTCCTTTTAAGCAATAACATAATGGCAGCATTTAAAATAAAAATCAGTCACTGATGTATTTTTCTTAAACCAGCAATGTAGAAAATTCCTCTTCACAGTAAAACTCTAAGAGTTTATATATCTCTTCTACAACTGAAATTTAATTCCTGATGTGTGTACTAAACAGGAACTCTAACAAAGAGAGAGAAATAAAATACATTCTAGGACAATTATGCAAATACTTTCAATACCTGAAAAAGGTATTTTATGATGGTCTGTATATGAATGGCTTCTTGCTGCTTTACTGCTAGCTGTCAGTACTTTTCAACTTTTCTATAATTGTTATAGAACTTTGTTTTGAAATTCTTTCTTCCAGATTTTCATTTCAGCAAAGAATACTCCTGAGGAAAGATTCTTTTTGGTGCAGCTCCTTTTTTCATAGCTCCTTTTCTAGATATTTAAGAACTTTTTTTATTTTAAATGTGGGGTCTTTATACAAAGTCTTTTATACAGCTGTCATGCTGTCATTTCTCACCTAGAATGGAGATCGGTTCACTCTAATGCTGTTATTTTCTAGCATAACTAGATACCTGGAGGAAGGATGAGATTAATGTTATTTTAAATGGAATTCAAGGACCCCAGTGAAAAGCTCTTTCCAATATCTGAGATCTAGGGACATATAAAGGACAAAGACTGAGCCCCTGGCCATGAGGGCTAAAAAAGCACCTAAAGATGGATAATGACAAGCTTTTTAGGGTTTTTGAGACAACTTGATTAATCATGGTTTTCATTTCTGGCGATTACAAATATCTCTAAATCTTCCTCGATCGATAAATCTCTCGATCTCTGTAAATCTTCCTGTCCTGCCCTGTTTGGAATTGCCAAATAAGTACTTTTAATTGCTTTTGCTATAACTTGTTTTGAGTTAGGGGTATATATTAAACTGATTAACATCAAATATTCCATCCTTATAACTGTAATGATGCTTAAAAACAAGGTACGAGGCACTCTAGTAATGTCCAGATCCTCAACACATTGCTCCAAGTTATCTGAAAGAAACATACTAGCTGGTTTGACAACTTGGACAGAAAGTCCTCTCTACAGTGAGACAGGAGAGCTCCCAAAGTCATCTGGCATACAGCAGGACATATACAGGGAGTATACCATAAAACCCTCTGACATCCTGGGGTAAGTCATTGCAGTTGTATACACTATGTGTAATATAGCCTGACTGAACCTCTGAAAGAACAAACGATTGAATGATACTGTAATAAACAATATGAAGATTAATAAATACACCACTAGATGAGATACTGGAGTTTGGTATAGCAATGGATTAAAAAAAAAAAAAAAGGGGGGGGGGAAAAAAGATGATCGTGGTACTATTCTATATGTGTAGCCTTCTGCACATTCACATTCATATTTCCCCAGGGTGTTTCTACAGATGGCTGTCCCACAAATGTTTGGATGTAACACACATTCATTTATATCTAGAAATACAAACAAGTTATTAAAAACAAGTCACCCTCTCGCATGCCATTTTTCCCTAATCCTAGCCAAAACTGTGCAAACCAGGTGAGGCTGGCAAACCGGTCCTTTCTTGCTAGGTCTGCCGTGCTTTCATAGGAGACTATAGCTATAGCCGTAAAGATTTCCCAAGGTGTCTAAAAGGCATTTCTGCATGTCCTTGGTGAAAAACGAATTCCCTGCCTGCCTACCTTTCTCATTCTCTCATGTGTTCTGTGGATAACAGGAAAAGGGATGCGTGTACAGGAAGGCAGAGGGAGAAACAGTCTGCGGATTTCCTATCAGCTAAACCAGACTGCATAATAAAATCCTATCTCAGAAAAAGACATCCAGAAAGACAAGGGAGAATCCTATTAGAGTTTCTTACTTGCTATGATTCATTCATGTCACAAATGTCTTTTAATTGGCTACGCTGACAGGTGTTCAAGTCCCTCACTGTCTTTCCATCCCTCAAACCATTTTAGTGTCTGTCTACTATGTTGTTTCCAATTTTTCAATGTCATTTTCAAAATGCAGATGTGACAACTGGAAGCAGCATATAGTATCAATCTCACTAAATATCTTGTAGACAGGAAAATATCAGATCCCTGTTAGGACTTCAATTCCTACTTACATGTGCAGGGATCATTCTAGCTTTCTCTGTGGAAATAGTGCTGCACAGGGAGAATAGATTCTGACACTGGCTTGCTAGGACTCCCAAAACATTTATGTCAAAGCTGTCCTGAATTCGGCCTACATTCCTACAGTTACCAAATTCCTAGGTGTATAATTTTCTAGCTGTATGTAATGAAACACTTAAATGCAGTTTATCAAATGGCTTACTAGTATAGGTACTAAGTTATATTAGGGTATTTTTATCTTTGATTTTTTTTAACTAACTTTTCCAGTATCTTTCCAAGAATTACAGAGATTCTAACTAACTTATCTTTTTGCCCTTTTTGCCAAAACAGCAATCTTCTGTTTTTGTGGAATTTCTTTGGAAATTACTCACACAAAAAAAAATTAGACTAAAGGAAGTGGCAGCAGGAGATGGCCCTCAAGTCTGGCCATCAAGTCTGGCCTTATAGTATTTGACATTATCCAAAACTGTTGGCATAGTTCAGCAATAAAATACATGACATTAAAATGGAATGAGGTTGTATTTTTTTTCTAACTATGTAGTAAGAATTGCTAATTATGTTAATACATAGACTTTATCTGGAATGGAATGATGCATGTAGGTCATGGCTGACAATAGCAGACACAAGCATGTACAGAAAAAAAATTATGCTGTGTGAGTAAAAGACAAATCTCTCTCCATTAAGAGTATTTTCTGATTCATTAATAGTTTCTTCTCCAATGAACTTCAAACTCCCAAAAGAGTAGCATCATTAATTAGCAGTGATTCAGCCTAAACCAGTGTTTACCAGACAGGATTTCCATGGAAACAATTTTAGCTTGTCACACCACTCTAGATTCTTGCTTCAGCGTGCTTAAAGGGTATGCGAAACTGGTTAGTGACCAAAACAAGCTTTACAGAGCTCTAGTAAGGAAGCAGAATCTAATATATAGTCTTTCTCTTTTTTTTTTTCTTCCACCCCCCCTGCCCCGAATTGGTTTCAACCCACCTCAGTTCCTTGATCTGGTTAACTATATGGTTGCTCAAATGCTTACAGCAATGTAAGGCTGCAGGTAGAATGAGTAGTCGGGTTGAAGCAGGACTGCATCTTTCAGAGGCAATGCAAGCTTTGGCTGACTTAGGGCATTTATGGAACTACTGGACTAAATTCTTTCCTCTCTAGTCAACAGGCGATGTACTGTCATGTAATGATGTTCTCCTTAAGTCTCAATTCCTACCTCCACAATCCCATTTATTTGAGTGCATGAAGTAGCCATCTTCACACAAACAACGGTAGCTTCCAGGTAAATTGGAACAGCGTTGGCTACAACCTCCATTTAAGTCTTCACATTCATTTATATCTAGAAGGAAAACAAAACAAAAATCTCTGCTCAGGGGAAGGCATTCATTGACCAACTATGTGGGGTAGGTTATCTTTAAAGATCTAATACTTGTGTTCCTGAGAACTAACATCGTAATGAGATTAGAGACTATACCTTCTTCACATTTCTCTCCTTGCCATCCTGGTTTACAGACACACGTATATTGGGCTTGTCCATCTATGCAATCCTTGTATCCATCTTTATGGCATGGCAGAGGGCTACACTGGTTTGAAATTTCTGTGGAATGGAAAACATTGGAAATACTTGTTATTTGGGGTTATTTTTCCTCAAAGATCAGTTTTGTCTGTCTTCTTCTCTTCCCACAAGAACATTTCATGAAACAGGAAAGGGCTTGATGCGTAACATCAAGTACCCATACCACCATCTTGCTGCTAATTTTGTTGGCAAGAATTTGCAAGTGACTGAACAAAAAAAAAAGCCACCAGTACTTTTTCTTTGTTGGGCAGAAAACAACTAGAAAACAAATGACTCCTAAGCCATCTTAATCCCTGCAAGACATGACCAAGCACAGACTTCACACTATTTTCATTCCATTTTAAGGATGTATTTCACTTTTTAAAGAACAGTGCTCTGCCCCATCATATTACCACAAATTTCGCTAGAAATACTGAAGTTTCAAGAATACTAAGCGTTCAAGATCAGAGATCAGTTTCTCTGTTCAAGGAGGGTCACATTTACAGGGAAACTAACACCTCAGGTTGCCTTGGCTGTCCAGGTCCTGTGGGTAGACTGGATAATCAGTGTCTAATAGTGGCACCATTTACAAATATTAACTTCAGTGACAAACAAATTTGCATCCGAACGAGCAGTTGAGGACTCTTTATACATGCTGGCAAGACCTCAGAAAGCAAGGCTCAAAATACGTACACTGGGGCAGAAAACACATAATTCACTGCCTTTTTTGCGCTATCCAAAATACGTAAAGTTCCTTTAACTTTTCCCACTGTTTTCATAATTTTTACATCAGGATACCACACAAGGCATCATTCTGTTTTTGTCCTCTGAATATGCTGGTAGCTTTATGGACTATTTTTCTGCAGGCCTCCAAACATTACAAATATATTGTTTCTACTTTAAAGTTACGTTCTTATAAAGCTCTGGAATGTCATTCTGAGGCATGCTTTTAAAAATGTAGTGTCCTAAAAGGGTAACAGTATGAAAAAAAGAAAGGATTTAACGATGTTCAGGTTCAAAGAAGTGGAATGAAAGGCAAGTGTTCCTGCAGACCAAAATTTGCTATGATTCTGTACATAAGGCCTCACTGGATTCCTTAAATGTTTCTTACTTTACTCAAAAGAATTGAAGAACTGACCCACAAGTTTAGCCTTCTGTGACTAAGAAAGCTTAACAAAATCTGTATTAGTGTATTTGTCAACTAAATCTACTTCTAATTAAATTCTGCTCTAAGTAAAACTAAAAGCCCAGGGGCCAGCCAAGCTCCAAAACCATAGAGCCCCTCTAGAATAGGTGCTGCATGTCATGTAATATCCATACTGCAGACCAAAGGACTCCAGTTGCAGATGAAGACTGACAGAAGAAATTGCGCAGCAATAAAAGGAATGGGGTTTATGTATGGATTCTTCATGGCAATTTCCAAATGTAAGTTCTAGAACTCCCTATGGTTTTTTTTTCTCTTTTTTGACTATTTACTGCTTTTGTAGGTCCAGGAACAAATGTGTGAACTAAGCTTGGCATGAGCAAAGCATTCCGTAAATGATAGATGTGGAAGTTATCCTTAGAGCGTGAAACTGGGGAACAAACTTGACTGTAAATGTTTCTGAGCAAAAGGCAATGATGGCTTGTGAGAGTCTGAACTGAGAGATGGTGGATTAGGTTGGCAGTGTGAAACACAAGTAGATGGAATGAGGTGAACTAAGGATATAAAGGGCAAAATGAGGAAACCAATGAATGAAAAAAAGAATTGGTGAAATACACTAGGGGAAGAAGACAAGACAGGATGGACAGGACTGGATGGACAGAAAGGTTATGTCCACAGATGAATGATTAAGATACCACTGCAGCAACAGTAATGTAGCAGCCTTTTGTTCCAAAATTGGGCCTGGTGTTCCTCTTTTCCGAGTTCAGGGTGCCTTCTGACCTACTACCCAGCAATGCTTTTTGATAAGCATTTGTGACAACAACTAAATGTCAGAAGGTATACTCAGCCTGCAATAGAAAGGGTAGATGGCAAGAAATGTATTGTGGTACCTGTATCCTCTGCCACTCAGAGGCTCTGGCATCCATGAGATGCGGTGGTGAGCTGGATAGATGTAAATGCAGGGATTTTTAGGTGTTTATTTTCAAAAGCAATTAAGTATGCAGATTTATGGGATACAGATGTTTAGAGACTTAAAGATGCAGCTTAGATACCTGCTTGGATTAGAAACGTATCAAAAGGGGGTCTTCTGTTCCTGTGAAAATTTTCCTTTTCCTTCCTTCATGGGGATGAAAAAAGTCAATATATTCATTAATTTTTGTAACTGTCTGTCCAGAAAGGTGTGTTCTGAAACGTGTTAATTTGTGCTCTGAACTAAGTGATTTGGGCAAATCTGAAAACAATTAAATTATTTTTCAATTCTGTTTGCATTGTTATTTTTATTCCTTGATTTTTTTTTTTTTTGGCTTGAGGTTCAAACTAATTACTGTATTATGATAAACTAGTTCCTATAATTATTTTATTATTTCTCATTAAGAAAATTTGATTTTTCATTTTGATGATATCAAAGCAATTTGGATCGATACATTCAGAAAGAAAAAACTTTTAAAATCATTTTAAAAACCTGTTAATATCAGTATCACAAAATCTTTGTCTCAATTAAAACATCTTAAAAACTTGTTATACAGTTTTAATGGGAATTTTAAATCCCACTTTCTCAGCAGTAGCTCCTTTTCCAGAAATGTGTATGAATTTCATTGAACATTTAAGCATTAGAAACACTTCAAAATTTTACGTGTACCTCTTTACTTCTCCTTTATCCTGATGACTGACCAATAGTAACAGGGTTTTTTAATTTGATTTTATAATGCGAACCCAAATGAAGAAATACAATTACTATCAAGTACACTAGTTGTTTTCATGGGTAATACAGAAACATTGCACATCCACCAAACTCTTGCTAAATAGTTTCCTCCCAGGACCTCTAATAAGAGTGAGAAAGAGTGATATGAATAGGAGTGCATTTTAGTTCGTGACAGCAGTCACGTTGGCCAAGTGATCTGGAAAATATATTCATCCATGACCATGTGCAGTGTAATTACTAAGAATTTTTTTGCCTTCCATTGCTTTCAGTGACAAACCAGTGTCAGGTGGTTAAGGATATATATCACTATTCAAACTAATTGAAAGCTTCTTTGATGTAACCAGGCTGTAAAGGTTTAAGAGGTTTAGAGACATGTTTCAACTGTGGCAAGTAGGGAATATGGTACCGACTGCTTCCTGTAAATTTACTACAAGAAACACAATTCACACTAGACTTATGAATGTATGGGTGTAAAAAATAAAATATTTGAGCAATACCACAAGTTTCATGCTTTGTGACCTTCTTGTGTCTGGAGTCAATGACTGTTTTCCAGCTGATATCTGAATTTCTCAGCTGGTAATGTTACCCACTTCGTGGAGGGCTACAGTCTAACTATGGGCCAAAGAGTGGTGAAAAGGAGAATTAACCAGATGGTCCCTTCCTTTAACTGACAGAACAGGACTTGCTAGATGCAGAGTCAGGGATAACTATTAAAGCTGTGGTAGAGCACAGAGGACGTACTAGGGAACATTGCTGGGTTGGTGTAGGACACTCTTCTATGTTTCTGGAAGAATTCTGCCTTCCATTTTACAGTTAATTATGTTTCTCTTCCAGCATGCTTTATAATGTTAAAAACAGTTACTTACCCCACTTGTTCTGAAAATCCCCTGTCTCACAGTAATTTTTTGTCAATTTCTGTTCCAGATAATTGAGTTTGCGTGAGTTAAATGGAGATTTGTCTCTCTGCCTAGGTGAACTGCTTTCTAGCCATGTACGTGTGTGTTCTTAGATCTGAGTGCATTAGGTAAAGTATCTAACAGCAGCACTTACCATTGACACAAACCCTCAGGTCAGCTGGTGAATCTGGAGTAACTGCAGTAATCCTGAAAACCCCTGCTCGATGGGAGGCAAGGCAGCCTGCAAATGCAAACCCACACAATCTGCTTATGATACAAACACTCATTTAGACTGAAATTACAACAGCTTATGCATGGCACCTTCAAAGAGTCTGTTCTCACAGCCTGAATTAGAAAACTTGTCTGGGCATATTAAGGACAGTTGATCACAGACCAGCCTTCTGAGTGCCTCTGCCTAGGATTTAAGCACCCAGAACTGCCCAGGAGCTACTAGGCGTTATAATCAGTGCGGAAATCATTCAAGCGCTATGGGTAGAATAACTAAACTAGTATTACCCAAACAAGACGACCAGTGAACTATGTACTAGAGTTGTTCAGGTTTTTTGTACTTACTTAAATATTTGGGGTAAAAATACTCCTGCAGAAAGAAAAGAAAAACAAAGAGTAAGAAAAATTTAAGGTAGATAGAATTACAGCAAAATATATTCCTGAATATGTTCTAAAATCTATTTGTGTTATAACTGTAAAAGAAGCAAAAAATAAGAAGTTCTTTTGACTCAGAATATAGAACAAGTTTTCTGTTTCAGTACTGTTTAGGCTAAGGCAGCAGATTATTTATAAACACAAGGCTCAGTGGAGAGATTAAGATACTGCGCTGAACTGGAAACTTTCAAAATGAAGGAAATGAAAATGAATTGGGTGTCAAAACTACTTTGAAAACTGCCTCTTTGAAGGGGAGGATCTTGCCCAATGTTGTCATTGGGTGCAGAGCAGCCTCCTTTATTTCCCTTTTTCGCCCTAAAATAAACAAAAATGCCCAGAATAGGTTGAACATCTCGCATGCAATTAATACCAAATAAAGTGAAACACATTGTTAAAAATTGTTAAAACCAAATGATTATTGATTACTGAAATGTTTTGACCTTAAAAATCAGAATATCCAAATACATGCAATTCTATCAAAGACAGAAGGTGGAACTGATAGTTTGCAAAACCAGAATTTGTTTTAACCACGTATGTTTTGTAATAACCCTTTTAGAGTACAAAACTGAGTAAAATCTACTTAATACTAACTAACGTGCAGTGGGAATGAACAGAGGAACAGAGTGCTCCCCACTAGGAAAAAAGCTCACAGTCATACATCCAATCCCTTCATTAAAAGGGCTGCACTGCCATGCATCCTCTGTGTAAAATTTTAATTGAAGCCAACAGAGTTTCCCCACATGGAATGCTTGCAGACAACTGTGGTCTAAAACTGGTGATCCGTATGTGAAATTAGAGTAATATCTACTCAACTATCCTCTTTGCTTATACAGTCTTCATTCCTAATTGTACAGGTTCTATACACAAAAGAATTTCAAACCGGTTCTTGGTCTGCATATGGTGGGGTTGTTTTTTAGCTTTGCAGTGTGAATTCTATGTACTTCTAGCATTCCCTCTGCAAACTACCGTCTACCTCACAGATATTAATCAGATACTTACAGTTTCAGGATTATTTTCAAAGATTTCCCTGGCTTCTTCCTTATTGCATAATTCTTCAATGCACTCTCTTTCTAAATTTCCCTTCTTACTTTCTTCCATAAAAGAATTTGCTCGACGTTTCCTCACCAGGAACTGAGAGGCGTACTGCTGGGATAAAACTTTGTAGAAACAAAGGACCTCTGTTGTTATCGATTTATTTTTAACAGCTGAAAAACACCGTGAGCACTGAACAAATATGAGAATCTAACAAAAAATCTGAATTAAATGCTTGCTCAGAACTTGCTGTTTCCTATCATTTTAGAAAATGGCAAGAAATCCTAGGGTTCTGTTTTCTGCATGTGGGATAGCTGTTTCTGACCAAAAAAATCCCAAGTCACCAAAAAAAAGTTTGTGCAATGCTGTGCCTGAAGCATAATTTAAATGTCATGTTCAGGACAAGATTTTTTTTATTTCTTTTTTTTTAGCTATGGATATTACAAAGTGAGATATGTGACCAATAAGTGGAAAAGAGCCTTTTAAATGATCCGTTTGAGTGATCTAAAAGTAAATATTCTGATCCTATTTAACTTACATGAGTCCAAAAAATGTGTGTTATAAAATCAGGCTGCCTGTTATATGTATCTAATATAAATGTTCCTTTATTTTTCAGAACTGTAAAGATCAAGACAAAGTAAAAGGTGAGAGTGATATCCTGAGAAATACCAAGGCAAACAACCTACAAATATGTTCACTTTTTACCAAGATAAAATACAATCCTAGCTAACTTTTATATTCCAAATCCATCATGTTATGTGTCATTACTTAACTCTCATGTATCTTGTTATGACCATTTTACTGAGTTCTACACAAATGGTGAATAAATAAGTGAGTTGAGAAATTGTACTAAAAATGAAAGATGTCTGTTTGCTTTGATGTTCTTTGCAGAGCACACAACTCTACAGGAACACCGACTAAACCAGACTGCCTCGTTAGTTCAACTTTTGGGCATACCTTGTGATTAAGAGAAAAATGGATGGGCATAATTGGAAGAAGTCCAGCTCATAGAGTTACAGAACACAGCTGACAAATGTTAACTAGAGAGCACCACACTTCTACACCTGCCCTTCTTTTATCAGCCTGTGCAGAACTTAACCTCTCAGACTAGCACGACCGTGTGAGGGTCATGACACCCGCAGTGCAAACCAGATTCGGTGTACGTACATATGCATCGCTAGCCTACAAAGAAGATCAATCCAAGCAGACGTAGTCGGTTTGGTACTGTTCATGAGCATGTAATACCTCAAACCTAGAGCACCTATATGAGATGAGCCAGCAACCAAGTCAGAGAAGAGCCTCCCAATGTCTGTGCACTAATGGGAAAGAAAGCTTAGAGAAGGCTCATTAGAAAGAGCAGTTAATGAGGCCCAGAACTTGAAGTGAGAATAGCTTTTGGGTAACAGATATAACAAAAACCGTACCATTCTAAACACATTATTAAAGCTCTCTATCAAGTGAGGGGGAACACAGCTGAAGTGCTGCAACATTGGATAATGACCTGAAGAAGCCTGCCTGCCCGTTACAGCATCCTTAATGCACCTGAGGTGGGATAAGCTCGTCACTTCAAATCGATGTACTTGCTTTTCGTTCTGGTAAGGCAATAGGTAAGATTTCCTCAGCATAAGGTGGACAGACTACAGCGTACCTCTGAGGTTTCAAAGCACACCTTTACCTCAGAGAGCAACCAGTGAGTTGCTTAGATGTGCAAGGAGAAGTCAGCTTGTGCCCTTCCCCACTGCCAAGCATATGAGCAGGCAACAGTCTGGTCTTTGAGGATTCACCTCTTCTTATTTACATGGTGGTCTTACTGAAGGATGGAAAGAATTCTGTAAGGTGAAGACTGATCCTCAAGGAAACTGCTCGGGGAAAGAAGAGACTCATCTTACTCGCCGGGCCCCCACTTCCAGAAATTCTTGGCGCAAAAGGAATGAATCAAGCCTGCTTTCCTCTTCTACTGTTTTCTACTTTCACAAACCTTAAGGTGCGCTACAAGTGCATCCCGAGGGCCATTAACAACGCATTTCAAGAGCTGGATTTGGGTTCTCTGGTCGTTACGCATCCTTCATGCAGCAGGTCGGAGAAGCAACGGATTGGAAGCTGCTGTCTCATAGCGCTTTTCTCTCAATCTGTGAAGCCACCGTGATCGTATCGCCTGCTGGGACACTGCCAAAACAGCATGGCGAGAGGAGAGGACAAGAAGGGGCTCACGAGAGCCCTTCTGAACCCTAACTGCGCTGAAAAGCAGAAAAACGTTTTGATAATTTATTTATCACCAACTGTTGCTAGCAGTGTTCTTTTAATGAATTTGGGCTAAATGGCTGTATCTGTCATTACATAAAAGCAGGCTAATAAGAAGGATGCAGAAAGTCCATCTGTTCTGAGGCAACAGGAGTGACAATAAACCAGGAAAACGGTGTGTTGTGCCTGCTGATGTTGTTTACGTTGGAGGTTGCTGCCCACACAAGCATGCCGACGGGCAGAGGCTCCGTGATGTAGATGAGGCCTAATCCACAGCTGAGTTTAAACAATCTTGTTTTGACCTTTAGCTACACAATTCTCATTTTGACACACTTTTTTCCAGTAAGCAAAGTGGAAGAAAATTCCAAGCAAGTGCAGCGTTCCTGAGGACATTACACCAGATCTACCACTACCTACTTCAAGTTTTGAATATAGTGGGGTAATGGAAACAGGTCTATTCCTCTACAGCACAGTTTACCCTTCTCTTCAGCCGATTTCCTACAGCCATTAGAGTTTAAGACAGATAATGTAACTCAATGCAAATCCTGCATTTTTATTGCAAATATTTCAATTCACATGCACAGAATTAGCAGTGTATTTATTCAACTGGTTTTTCCTCTCAAAGATTATGATAGGACCTTTATTAAAACAAAAAAAAAATCCTCACTGCTACTGCTGCCAGTTTGATTACAGGAAACGCCAACACACTTGACCCTGCCAAACCAATAGTTAACCCTTAATGAACTTGGTGTGTTTCATTTGACTATCACTGAAGTCTCACCGCAATCCCAGCTACAATTTCAATAGGTGGTGTACAGACACTGTGCAGTGATTACTTATCATGCACTTGTTTAGAAGTAATGCTGCTGAAAAAGGAAAAAAAAAAATGGGGGGAGAGGGTAAGATTCAGTGGTTCCTTGCAGCTGTTTTGTAGTGCAGATGCAACTATAAACCTGTCTTCAGTGGGCTAGCTAAACACAGCTTAGAGCTGCTTACCTAGTACCCCAGTTGCAGAAAGCAGCTGTAGCCTGCTCAGAGTTGTATTGCACTCTCAGAAACTCGGAAGACCCAATGAACTGAAAAAAAGGAAACGTGACGCCACTGCAGAAAGTGGTGTTATCTTATTTGTACAGCTGTTCTCTTGCCATCAGCTCTGTAATTCCAGCAACTAATGTCTCCCGAAATGCTCATCAGTGACATAAGCCTTATGCAGCCAACAAAATAAACCCAACCAATACTAATGTTTGCCTGTTTCTTTTCCATCTTATCCCAAACCTGTCCCTTGCTGGATGTGGGACCAAAGGTAGCTGCACTAAGACTAGCAGAGAGGTAACTTTCCGTTACAATCATTGAATGGTGCAAGCTACGTTACTAAGATCTTTCTGTTTTGTTTGGGTTTGGTTTTTTTTTTAACCTGTCCCAGAAATCCCTGGCATTGTTCAGAGCCAGGGATAGGAAACTGCATGGACCATAGAAATTTTACATGAGTAGGGCAACTTCGAATTTCCTGCTGTTCATAAAAGAGAAAACTGATAAGGTATGAAGCGGGGGAGATAAACGGAATGGTAAATGTGATAAAGACAGAGAAATGAACAGGACAAAAGATTTATTAGAAGATTTATTTTTAGGACCAGTTCAAAAATAAGTTATAAAATGAACTTTCACCTTCCCCTACTGTTCCCTTCACAGTGAGAATCCCTACCATTCAAATGTTAAGTCTGGCCAGTAAACATCAGTTTTTTCTTCTGCCTGTTTAATCATTAGTAAAACACGTCAGAAACAGGCTTACTTTGAGCTGCAATTCTGCTTGTTCCAGATACGCGGTCTTCTTTTAGTACTAAGCTCAGAGATTTCGGTGTCAAAGACATAGGCTTTGATTTTTTTGTATTTTTTTTTTGGTTATCTGTATTCGAGAGAAAATAGTTCTTTGCTAGGCTGATAGGTCTGAACTTATTAAGAGAGTCAGGGCTGCTTGCCTGTACTCCGCAATAACGCCACTCTCCTGAGACTATTTAACTATCAAGAGTTTTTCTTCTAAGCGAATCAAGCGCTGTGTGAAGGCACGATTTCCCCCGAGCTGCAGAGCGGCGTTTCGGCCGCAAACAGCTGC